CCAGCCTATCAAGAGGGATGGACTATAACTCCCAGAATCCCCCAGCCAGCATGCTTTGAGAGGGGAGGACTTCCACTCCCAGAAGTCCACAAGTCTTAAAGTTGCCAAGGTTGGAGACTCCAAGTTGCCTGGAGGATTCTGGGAGTTGAAGTCCAAACCCTTTAAAGGAGCCGAGTCCAAAAAGCATTGTGTTAAGTTGCCCTTTCCGATGCCCCAAGCGGAGACCTGCCCTTCGAGGATTGTGTAAACTGGCTACACAACTGTGTGCAAGTGACACACCTGGTCTCGAGTGTGTTAGGGTTTTTTTTTTGACCCACCCATTCGATTAAAAGCCACCCGATGGGCTGGATTACAGCTCAGTTCATCCGTTGCTGTTCGCTAAAGTCTACTATAGGTACTCCCCGGTTTACAACAGTTTGTTGAGCAACCGCTCAAAGTTACAACGGCCCTGAAGAAAGTGACTTAGCACCATCTTTCACACTTCACGACCGTTGCAGCATCCCCCGTGGTCAGGCGATCAGAATTCATGCGCTTGGCAACTGTCTTGTATTTACGACGGTGGCAGCATTTCGGGGTCACTTTTCGTGGCTTCCTTACAAGCAAATTAGCAAGACGGTCGTTAAGCAAATCGGGCTTCCCTATTGACTTTGCGGGCCAGAAGGTCGCAAAAAGGGAACCCCATGACCCCGTGTCATAAATACAAGTCCGTTGCCAAGCGCCTGAATTTGGATCAGGTGAGCGTGGGAAGGCTGCAGTGGTCGTAAGTGTGAAAAATGGCCGTAAGTCGCTTTTTTCCAGTGATATAACCACGATCACTAAATGAACGTGATGTAACTCATAAGTCACCTTTTTCACTACCGCTGTAACTCAGAACAGTCGCTAAATGAACTGTCGTAATTTGAGGACTCCTTGTCGGCTCCAAAACTGCTATTGTTGTGGCCCCCCGGCAGCCCGCAGAGCTGGCAGCAGACTCAGAAAGCGAGGAGGTTGGGGAGGAGCATAGACCAGTCCTGGCGTCTGACAAGAGGCAGAGATGGAGCCAGGTCCATCTGACGCTTATCGGCTGCCTTTGGAGTCGGAGATCAGTGGGGAAGAAGAATAGCTGGAGCCTGTTCCAAGTGTGCGCATGCACAGAACTGCCAGAAGAAGGGAACAGTTAAGGAACAAGAGTCAACTCGGGAGTAAGAGCATAGATGGATGGTGAATGGGCCCTGGGATTAAAAGTGGAGCAAAAGGGGAATGGGGTTTGTAGGAGACAATTAGTTCATTTAATTAGTGTGAAGATCTGTTCCTGACTTCTTTCCAAGTCACTGCTGCTACAGCCTGGCCTTTGAAAGCTATCGGCCTGGCAGCTCTCCAAGCCTGATAGAGGTCCGTCGTTGTGGAATCTCTTGAAAGACTTGTTGGCCAGGACATTGCTGGAGAGGAATTCCCTTGAACCTAAATAAAAGGGGGTTTTATCGAGACGAGGAGTCGGCTTCGTGCTTTTGGGGGAAGGCCTAGGTCGGAACAGCAGGTCCCCTGAAATAAACCCACCTGCACCGTGATCAGCTTTTTCTCCTTCGGTTTCTGGTCCGGCCACTCTTCCCCAAAACAGAAGAAAATCTCGTAGGGGGGAGGCGTGGGAGCCTGGCCTTTCTGGAACAGGATGAGTCCTGCGGGAAGGGGGAAAAAAAAATAAAAATAATAAAAACATGTCCCAGAGAGAGAAAGAGAGAGAGAGAGAGGAAAATCAACGTTAGACATTCACCAGAAGGCAAAGAGAAACCGTGGCAAAAACAGGAAGGCAAATTCAGAAAGAAAGAAAGGAAGAAACGAAGGAAGGAAGGAAGGAAGGAAGGAAGGAAGGAAGGAAGGAAGGAA